TAAGTGATAGTGGTGGTGGTTGGTGCTGTAGTGTGAGGGTGTGGTGGTGATGGTTGTGGTGTGTGTGTGGTGGTGCTGGTTGTGTGGTGGTGGTGGTGCTGGTGGTGGTGATGGTGGTGGTGTGGGTGGTGGTGGTGTGGTGAGTGTGGTGGTGGTGGTGGGGTGGTAGTGGTGGTGGTGGTGGTGGTGGGTGGTGGTGGTGGTGGTGGTGGGGGTGGTGGTGGTGGTGGTGGTGGTGTGGTAGTGGTGTGGTGGTGGTGGTGCGTGGGAGTGGTGGTGGTGTGTGGTGGTGGTGGGGTGGTGGTGCTGGTAGTGGTGGTGGTTGGTGTGGTGCTGGTAGTGGTGGTGTGGTGGTGCTGGTAGGTGGTGGTGGGTGCTGGTAGTGGTGGTGGTGGTGGTGCTGGTAGTGGTGGTGGAGTGGTGGTGGTGGTGGTGGTGGTGGTGCTGTAGTGGTGGTGGTGTGGTAGTGGTGGTGGTGGGTGGTGCGGTTAGTGGGTGGTGGTGGTGGTGGTGTGTAGTGGTGGTGGTGGTGGTGCTGGTAGTGGTGGTGGTGGTGGTGCTGGTAGTGGTGGTGGTGGTGGTGCTGGTAGGGGTGGTGGTGCTGGTAGTGGTGGTGGTGATGGTGGTGGTGGTGGTGGTGGTGGTGGTAGTGGTGGTGGTGAGTGGTGGTGGTGTGGTGGTGGTGGTGGTGGTGTGGTGGTGGTGATGCTGGTAGTGGTGGTGGTGGGTAGTGCTGGTAGTGGTGGTGCTGGTAGTGTGGTGGTGCTGGTAGTGGTGGTGGTGCTGGTAGTGGTGGTGGTGATGGTGGTGGTGCTGGTATGGGTGCTGTAGTGGTGGTGCTGGTAGTGGCAGTGGTGGTGCTGGTAGTGACGGTGATGCTGGTAGTGACGGTGATGCTGGTAGTGACGGTGAAGCTGGCAGTGACGGTGAAGCTGGTAGTGACGGTGATGCTGGTAGTGATGGTGATGCTGGTAGTGACGGTGAAGCTGGTAGTGACGGTGATGCTGGTAGTGACGGTGAAGCTGGTAGTGACGGTGATGCTGGTAGTGATGGTGATGCTGGTAGTGATGGTGATGCTGGTAGTGATGGTGATGCTGGTAGTGACGGTGATGCTGGTAGTGACGATGATGCTGGTAGTGACGGTGATGCTGGTAGTGATGGTGATGCTGGTTGTGACGGGGATGCTGGTAGTGACGGTGATGCTGGTAGTGACGGTGATGCTGGTTGTGACGGGGATGCTGGTAGTGACGGTGATGCTGGTAATGACGGTGATGCTGGTAGTGACGGTGATGCTGGTAGTGACGGTGATGCTGGTATGACGGTGATGCTGGTAGTGACGGTGATGCTGGTAGTGATGGTGATGCTGGTAGTGCGGTGAAGTTGTGTAGTGACGGTGATGCTGGTAGTGACGGTGATGCTAGAGTGACGTGATGCTGGTAGTGACGGTGATGCTGGTAGTGACGGTGATGCTGATAGTGACGGTGATGCTGGTAGTGTCGGTGATGCTGGTAGTGACGGTGATGCTGGTAGTGACGGTGATGCTGGTAGTGACGGGATGGATGCTGGTAGTGACGGTGATGCTGGTAGTGACGTGGTGCGTGTAGTGACGGTGATGCTGGTAGCGACGGTTGTAGCTGGTAGTGACGGTGATGCTGGTAGTGACGGTGATGCTGGTAGTGACGGTGATGCTAGTAGTGACGGTGATGCTGGTAGTGACGGTGATGCTGGTAGTGATGGTGATGCTGGTAGTGACGGTGATGCTGGTATGACGGTGATGCTGGTAGTGACGGTGATGCTGGTAGTGACGGTGATGCTGGTAGTGACGGTGATGCTGGTATGACGTGATGCTGGTAGTGATGGTGATGCTGTAGCGACGGTGATGCTGGTAGTGACGGTAATGCTGGTAGTGACGGTGATGCTGGTAGTGACGGTGATGCTGGTAGTGACGGTGATGCTGGTAGTGACGGTGATGCTGGTAGTGACGGTGATGCTAGTAGTGACGGTGATGCTGGTAGTGACGGTGATGCTGGTAGTGACGGTGATGCGGTAGTGACGGTGATGCTGGTAGTGACGGTGATGCTGGTAGTGACGGTGATGCTGGTAGTGACGGTGATGCTAGTAGTGACGGTGATGCTGGTAGTGACGGTGAGCTGGTAGTGACGGTGATGCTGGTATGACGGTGATGCTGGTAGTGACGGTGATGCTGGTAGTGACGGTGATGCTGGTAGTGACGGTGATGCTGGTAGTGACGGTGATGCTGGTAGTGACGGTGATGCTGGTAGTGACGGTGATGCTGGTAGTGACGGTGATGCTGGTAGTGACGGTGATGCTGGTATTGACGGTGAAGCTGGTAGTGACGGTGAAGCTGGTAGTGACGGTGATGCTGGTAGTGACGGTGATGCTGGTAGTGACGGTGATGCTGGTAGTGACGGTGATGCTGGTAGTGACGGTGATGCTGGTAGTGACGGTGATGCTGGTAGTGACGGTGATGCTGGTAATG